TTGCGACAAGCCATTGATCTTTGCAAATGGGTCCTGGTATGAAAAAACTTTAGAACCACTGAGCTAGAACAACATTTCTCAGCCCATGGATTGCAACCCAAAAGTGAGTTGCAAGAATATACGAAAGGGTTGCAAACAAACTTTAAAGGAGAAAAACACAGGAAATGGTGGCTTTTCCCTTTCAGGCTGACAGAGTTCCAGCCTGGTAGGGGCTGCTTGTGGCCCCTGATACTCCCCCCCCACACACACTGAGGGGCTCAGGCCTGGGGGAGCAGCAGGCTGGGAGTGAGGGGCACTGGGTCAAGACTAGCAATCAATGTTTACAAATGGGTCCTGGTACAAAAAATGGTTGAGAACCACTGAGCTAGAGCACAGTCCTTTGGAGACTAGAGCTAACTGCTGTATGTTAAAGTAGTCCCTAGGTTGCTGTTTTGCTGAGGTCAGTGTACCTCAGCCTAGAGAATTGGGGAACTGTCACTGGCTCCCTGATGTCTAAAGTGCAAAAATTGATCTTGAATTGTAGCAGGGAAATAGAAGTTCTGCATATAAACTAAATGATACTAGCCACAATAGTCACAATAGTGACCTAGGCATCTGACACGACCTCTTAGTATGGTTCTGTATTCAATGTAGATGGGACCAACATGAGCTTCAGAGAAAAGAGGAACCTTGGTAGGAGAACTGCAGAGATGCTTCAGTAACTATATGAAAAAATGCTGAGATCAACAAGTAAACAAATAACTGTGCCTCAATAAAGTGTTTAACTGCATGCATGGAAAGTGATTTCTCATGCTATGGGCAGAGGGCAACTGCAGTTGAAAACGGAGGTACATAATAGTGTATGAGATGACTGGAGTTGGGAAGAGGGCTATTTTTTTTTCCAAGCTGAGGAACAAGGCCTTGCAATTAGAGAAAGCTTCAAAGTCAGGGGAGGATTTTTAGGCTGCAGATGGATGAGAGGTTTGAAAGTCTGGTGCTTCCTTTAAAACAGGAGTTGTCTACTGATGGTACACATACCCCCGGAGTACTTGGGAAAGCCCTAGCGGGTATGCACGAGTGGGCAGGGACGGAGTGCTGCCATCCACCACCCTGCACTGATGCCCCCCAGGAGCAGAGCTGAGGGGGGAAAAGGCAGTGGCACCCCTCTGCAGGCCACACAGGCACTTCCTGGACGTCAGGGGTTGGGGGGAAGCTCACACACAGCAGCTGCTGCCGCCACCCACCACCCCATGCTGCTGCCGCTCTGTGTCCAGTCATGCACCCCCCACCCCCTTACTCTGCGTCTGGCCACCAGGGTGCACTCATTAAAAAAGATGGAAAACCCCTGCTTTAAAACACAAGAAATTCTGAAAGGGAAGGGCTGGGATTTGGAAAAGAGCATCTCTGTTAACTACCTAATCCCTCTACTTTGCTTCTCCACCACCATACTACCATTGCCCTCCTTCCATGGAGACCTGACAAAGCCTGCCTCCTAAGGCCTGTCCTGGTTGTTCATTTGTGGGGAGCTGTAGTTGAGAGATGTAAGACATCCATTCACCTAAGGGGCAGAGTCAGGCTGTCTTTGCCCACACTGCTGGATCAGGGAGTGAGATTGGGAAGCAAACCTGTACTTCAACAGTGACAAGGATAGTCACAAGAGTAGCCCCAGGGATGCTTCAAAAGTAATCTGAACATATGCTTCATCTCTGTGGTCAAGGTGATGGCTTTAGTCAGGCTGTACGCTTTGCACAGTTTACAGGAAGATGGAGGCCCAGCTGGAACTGGCCACAAGTAAAACCGTCTTGCCAGATATTTTGACACTGTTCAGGGAAGATAATTTTGTAGGTAACTTTGACTCAAAGTGATTCTCATCTTCACTTTTATTCTACACAGGATTTGCCACCCTGCCTTCCCCGTTAATTTCTTCTCCCACTTTACATTCCTCTAGCTGCCACCCCCTAAGCCAGACCTGACACTAATGCCAGTACTTGAAAAGGAAAATATCTATGGCTGATAGTTGCCTGGCACCCCCCAGACCAAGAGTTTAACCTCCAAGCCTGGAGAAATAGCTTAGAGGTCCATCATAAGGATTTTATGTACCAAGAGCTCATTCAAGGTTGCTCTGCCCCTTGTATGGTTATTTGTGCCAATGCAGAGTGAGTCCAGTGTTTATAGGGTTGTTGGTTGTAGCTGTGTTGGTCTAAGAACATAGGCAGACAAGGTTCTTTGGGTAGATGTGATATCTTTTACTAGACTAATTAAATAGTCTGAAAAATTGTTCTTTGCAAGCTTTTGGGCACAAACACCCTTTTTCAGGCATAGGGAGAGTTTATGCTTATTCTGCACTGGAGCAAATGACTTTGCAAGTCAGGGCTTTGTTGAGTGCTAATATAAACTGGCTTCACAGCAGTGGAGATAGGCTTTCTCTAACATGGGGGTGTCAGCCATTGGAGGCCAAACATCAGTAACACCTGCATCTGTACAGATCTGTGCCACGAGTGCAGCTTACTCCATTTTCAAGAAGGGCCAAACTTTTTATCGGAACAAATCCTGCTTGCAGCACTTTAGTCTGCTTGCACTAGGGGTCTGAATCAGTGATATTAGACTTGAGCCTGGGTACTGATAGCTGAAACCCCCTGTGGCAAAAGGGCCAAATTCCTAATATGCAAAATGATAGGAAAGTCAGGTCCTTAGAACCAAACAATTCAGTAAATCAAAGGAGATTGAACTAAATGCTGCTGTGCATTGAACTCCCAAGGCTGAAAGAAGTTGACTGCATGTGAACTCTTGTTTGTTGTGACACTATCACAATAAACAAAAACAGGATCCCATTGCCCTGGGCATTACACAGACACAGAACAGCAGAGTCCCTGCTCCAGATACATACTTTTGCTTTTGCATGTATGCATGTGGGTTTGTTGATTTGATTGATACAATCTAAATGCACAAGACAGACCCAAGTCTGGTAGTAATGAACAAGAAGAGTAAATATACAGGCTAGGGACAGAAGTTGCACATAAATGGGTGCAAATGATTAGAAACTGGTTTAAACCCATACCAGAACAGAAATTCAGTGCACATAAACTACTTCTAAAATGGACAAAACTGGTTTAAGAAAACCTGGTTGAATGTAGCATCAGACTTAACTTAAACCAGAAAAAGGTCTGGGACAGAAGTTCCATAAACCAGTTTGACCTAAAGCAGTTAATTCTCAGTCCCCCAGCATCCCAGGTTGTTTTGCAGCCCTGGCCTGGGTTGGGCTGTCTACTCTGGTGGAGCAGGGTTGGCCCCACCCCTCTTCTCCCAAGCCAGAACACTATTGCTGCTTGAACTGGCTGAGGAGGGGGTGAGGGTGGGAAACCATGTTCAAGGGTGCCCCCCTCGCTGCTCGAGCGGCAGGAGCAGGGGGTGTGGCCGGATGCCACTAGCCTCAGGGGAAAGGGGGGTTTAATCTCCCTTCCCTCCCATGTCCCACTGGCATAGTACCCCAGCCAGGGCCTGCCAGGCTTTCAATCAACTCACTGCATGAGCAGCCAGTTCCCCTGCCCCTCCCCAACAGGGCCCAGCACTGCGCCACTCCAGTCATGAGCCCTGAGGCCGTGCTGCACATAGCTCCTATCCCACCCCCCGCCACCCTGTGGTGGGGGAGGGGGAGAGCCATGCCCACCGCAGCGGCTCTGTGACAGCCTGGCCTGGCCTGGGCGTGGAGAGCTAGAAACAAGCCAGGCACACAGCTACTGCAACCCAAGCCTGAGCCACAGCTGGCTGGGAAGGGCCCTCCCCCTGTGTCTTGTCCCCTCCTCACCCACCCTCAGCAGTACCTGAAGGCTGACCCAGCTCAGCCCCCCAGCCCCAGCCCCAGCCCTGGGCAAAGTGGGTGGATGGTGGGGCTGGGCTATATGGACCTGCCAGCGCTGCTTCTTTGCAATTTCCCCTCTCCCTCCCTCCCTGCTTCACCTCAGGCCCGGGGCTGGCATCTGGCCATGCCCCTGCTCTTGCTGCTCAACCCTTAGGTGCAGCCAGGTGCTGGGGCCTGGCCACACCCTCTTCCATCCCCCCAAAGCCTGGAAAGGGTTGCTTCCCTCCTCCCCCTCCAGGTACACCCCAGCTGGGATCACTGCAGGCCACGGTTGGAGTTTAAACCCCTCTTCAATCATCCTTAGGCCTCCTGGGGTCTGGCCATGTCTCCCCCTCCACCCCTGCCAGCCCTCCAGTTCAGCTTCCCTCCAGCCTTCGGACCACAGTAGAAGTGAAGGGAGGGCTGCTGTAGTGACCCCTGGCTTCTGGCCTGAGCCACTGCAGGCATGTGGCTGCATTTCCAGAATCAGAAGTGAATGTCTATTCACTTGCTTGTCAGTTCAATCTACACAGGTTAGACTAATCTACAAAAACTGAATCAATTCACACTCAGGCTTTTTGAATGTCTGGACTTAACCACGATGGTAAAAAGTATCATGTTAGTTCCACAAATGTGTTTTTGGGGGGTTTGCTAATTGGAAAGAGAAAGGGAGAGGGATAGCTATGGAGTGAGGTTGAGGTGAGAAGTCTCTGAAGGAGATGTGGGGAGGAAGAGGGGCAGGGCTTGAACAAACAGCCAGTCAACACAGAGCAGAGAAAGGCCAGTAAAAACTGCAGTGGTCCCAGGATGTCTGAAGGTCCCTGCTTCTGCAGCTGCTCCTATTGTCTGGCTGCTTCCAGCCACCTTTCCTAGGGATCACATGGGCTAGGGACAGACATCCAAAAAACCAGAGCCTGAATTGACTCAGTCTTTGCAGGTTAGTTTAACCTGCATAGATTGAACCAATTTGTAAGTGATTAGACATTCACTTTTGACTCTGGAAATGCAGGGACATGCCTGTAGTGGCTCAGGCCAGAAGCTGGGGGTCACTAGAGCAAGCCCTCAGCTTGAGGGAAGCTAAGTTGAGGGGGGACATGGCCAGGGCACGTGTCAGTGCCCACACCACTGCTGTCTGCAATAGGGGGATTAAACCCCCACTTCCCCTCAAGTTATTGACATCTGGCCACCACAGCACTGAGTATACAAGCGGAGCCTATTGGTGCCTGTGCCACCCCCCACTCTGCAATGGGGGAATTAAACCCCCACTTCCCCTCAGACTACTGAGGGGGTGGGTCTGGCCACACCCCAGCACCCGCTGTTGGAGCAGCAAGGGGGATGGGGATGCTTGGCGAGAGCTGTTGCCCCCTTGCCAGGCAGACCCAGCAGCACTTCTGAGCAGAGTTTTCCATCCCCATCTTTTTCTCAGCCAATCGGAGCAGTGCTAGTGCTCTGGCTAGGGAAGAGAGGGGTGAAGCCAACCCTGCTCGCCTGGAACAGACAGCCCAGGCCAGGGCTGCAGAGCATGCTGGAGGACTCTGATTTAAGTTAAACCAGGAAAGGGTCTGGGACAGAAGTTGCACAAATTAGTTTGACCCAAATCAGTTAAGTCTGATACTATATTTAACCAGGTTTATCTTAAACCAGTTTGGGCAATTTTTGGGAGGTATCTGGCCTTAATCTGATCCTGCTCACAGACCTTTCTCCACCTCCAGCTTTCATATTATACTCATAGGCCATTTTTTGTTGCTATTTCCTACCCATTGTATTACACGATATACAGCAGAGGAGGTCCCACCACCCAAGCAAGCTCTACCTGTTTTATGAGAGGAGGTCAAATTGTAACTGGAGGCGGAGGAAGAAGAAATGAGGCATTTAGAACAGCTTTAATGGTGCAAAATTGTCTCAGTACAAGATGCATGCAACAGCCACTGGCTTCCATGGCTATTAGTCACATCCTGCAAGGGTACACAGGGCTTTTGAGCTGCGAAATGGTCTCAGGCCAAAGTGAGCATTTTTCTCTTGCCAATAGTCAGAGCCCTCCCATGGGAAGAGTTGGACACGCCCCAGCTCTTCAGGCTGCAGTAGACAAAAGAAGGAAACAAACCCAAGGGCATTTAGGTATTTTGGTCCTTGTTTTCTGTTAGTGTTCAGTGTACAGGAGAACGCTCTCCCCTCCCATGGCAATGTGCTTTCCTAGGAACAGTCCTAGACTTCTGTAAGAAGCCCTGTCTGCACAGCAGGTGAGCTCTGTTGATGCATAATGTCACACAGGGCCCTATTGAAATGACACTTGCTTTTTGTCTGAGGGCTTTAGAACTTGTCTCACAGGCAGGGTTTGCTACTGCTATGTTTCAGGTGCATAAAACTACCTTTAAAATAAGAATAGTTTGAATTTCACCTATTTATTTAGGATGTGCATGATTTTTCTTAGCAAAGGATTCCAAGCCACAGCACTGGTCTGTAGATGCACACAGCACCACGGAAATGCAGGCACGTCTAGTGTAGAAGAGAGGCAGCCCACACGCACAGAGCACACTGAGAATGAAAGGGAAGAGATTCTGGCCAGAGGTGCTGGGTAAAAAAGCCTGTGCAAATAAGTGCCACGGGATAATGGCACCTCTGTTCCCTTTGCCATGTGGCCTTGGGGAATGACGGCTGAGGGAGCCAGTCAGAGAAAGCAGCCTCTGCTCTAAGTAGATGGGAAAAAGGGGTCAGTAAAAGCCAGCCCTTTGCTAATAAAGCCAACCTAAAATGGCACAGAGGAGATGGCCTTCACTATGAGGGCACTATACAAGTTGCCCCCCATAGCTAAGGACAGAAGTTACACATAAACCAGTTTAAGTGATCAGAAACTGGTTTAAACCTGTAACAGAACAGAAGTTCTCTTTCCCAGAGACTTCCAAGAATGGATTGTAAAGTGTATTAGGTCTCTGCTGTGTCTTATACTTACACTGCAAGTATTTTTATTATTAAAAAGGTGCTTGTTACAGCAACAGCAAGGTCTGTTTTATCCCAGTTAAAGAGAACTAAAACAATGTGAGAATGGGGCATAAGTATACTCTTTGAACTTCTACTGTAGTTGACTGTTTTTACACACAAAAAATAAATCCAAGACTGCAGATAGCATCCTCCAGAAGTTTAAACATCAGAGAAGTCCTTTATGTGATTTAGACTCAAACATATGAAGTCTTGGGAGTTTCCTGGCAGATAATGAATGTCCTTAACTTTTAGTTTCATTGGGAATGGAGGGTTCTCAAAAGTATTTGCAAGGCAGTTAATAGGCCCTTAAGCTGTGGGGGTGAGAAGGCAATAAAATGGAGTCTTGAGGCTGTTGGAATATAAAGCAAGGCCTTTTGTCTGGGAACACTACTTATCCCTGAGGAATTTGTTGGGAGTGCTCCTCCTTTTGTTTTCCTAGATCTTGCCGATGCAAACATCCTCAGGTAGGAAATCCCAAGCTGATAAATGAGAAACAATTAAAAAGGAGGTGAACTTTGCATAGCTTTTCATTGTCTTTAATTCATCACATGATACCACCCAGCTATACCAAAGGTATGCATGATTTCAAAGACAAGTGACCCAACCTGGAGCTCAAAAGATCAAAACAGCTTACATTACCAAACAGGTCTAGACCTTTTACAAAAAGGATTCATTTATTTTCTTCACGACTTTTTTTTTTTTTTTGAAGCCCTGGTGACTTCCTCATTTTTCCTGATTTAATCCCCCATTTTGTAATTTATGGCTTAAAAGAAAGCAAACAAACAAATCACTATTACTGGGTAATCCTCAGTAGGAAGGTCAAAGTGACAGTGATTTCCCCATATCCATCCCCCCACCCTTTTCTCCATGGTATTATAAAGTTCAAGATTTGTTTTTAAGAATTTGATGAAAGTTCTTCAGAGTGAAAGGTGGCAAAACAATGGCTCCTTCTGGATGCTTCAGACCTTGGATGTCCAGCTTGCAACACCTTGAAGAAAGCACCCGCTGATAATGAAGACCCTTTAACATGCATATAGATATGTCCCATAAGGCATCCTGAGTTTGTGGAAACACTTGGGCATCATACATTAAC